GGGTGGGGTGTGGGGCATGTTAACGTTCGCTGCTACGTTGGGGATGGAGGTGGGTGGGGTGTGGGGTGTTAACGTTCGCTGCTACGTTGGGGATGGGGGTGGGGTGGGGTGGGGCATGTTAACGTTCGCTGGCACTGACGTCATGAAGTTGATGCTACCATGTTAACTTACGCCCTTGGAAACACGGCCACTGTCGTGCAGTCCACCAAGATTCATAAATATTGAGCCACGACTCAGGCTTAGTAACTAGAAGCTTCCAAGACAGTCTAGAAAGCTTGCTTGCTCGCATGATGCTCAAAGAAAGATTTTTCTCTTCGTTGCCGTATTTCCGTGCTGCAATGTCTGATGTTCTTCTCGAATTGCTGGCTCTGGTGATTCTTTTGCGGTTGGCTGGTGAGCCTCCGCCGTGTGTGGAGTTGTCACCATTGGTGCCACGTTTCCGAGAAAGATCAAAGGTCTGCTTGGACCAAAAGTGCACCCAGGAATTCCCGAACTCGTGCACCAGTGGCTGTACAGATCTTGGCATGGCTCTGACACTCCTGCTGGTGTATACGAGACCTTGACACACTGGTGGAAGCGAAGGTGACAAAATGAAGTAGTTTGTCCGGAAATTCTGGGTCATGCATTTTCACATGAAAAGAAGAATTCATTGTAAGTAGCAATACGAAAACAATGTGTAACAATGTGTCATGATGATAAAACGAAGCGGCGTTCTATCAGCCGCCTACCAAGTAGTTTACTGAGCGTTCGTTTGAGCTCTTGGGCGACTTTGCCACATCCGTTTATTTCTCTCCATCCTCGGCGGGTGAGACCTCTCCTCTCCTCCTGCTTCCAAACGGAGAGACCTCCTCCAGGAGTCCTGCAAGCAGCCTGGACTCAGCTGTGGCTTCGATCCTCGGCGAAATTTGGCACCGAGAAGCGGAGGAGTGAGCGGAGAGAGCGGAGAGAGCGGGGAGAGCGGAGCGGTGCTCGCGGTGCTTTTTCTGCCCCTCCTGGGGGGCGCAAGCTTCTTGCGAGAGTGGAAATGGGTGGAAGGGGGAGGGAACCTGTTATTTCTACAAGGCAAGGTTGTTCTGAAAGGCAACGTTTTTGTTTGTTTGTATCTCTTGCGTGGTCTCACCAGATCCGTTGCCCGTCAGAAGACTTCTGGGAGTGGGAGGGGGGTGTACTTTGTCACAAGTCAGCAGTTTTGACAGACAGCATCTTTAGTGCATCAAAACTTGAGTTTGTGGTGATATATACCAGGAGTGGGAGTTGGAGGCCACCTCTAGTAGGTTGGAGGCCATCGCGGTTTGAGTGGGAGTTGCGAGAAAGAACCATGTTTTCCGTGCTGTGTTTCACAGCTGAACTGTCACACATCTCTTTCGTCACATCTAGCCACGTCGCAGGCCCGAGTTGTAGGGATAGCAAGGTCCGATCACGAGACATTTGTTCGGAAAAGAGGTTCTACAAAAACATTGCATTCGATTGACGACTGAGTACCTTTTCATCGGGATCCTGCAGATGACACGGTAAACCAAAAAAACAAACGGGGATTTTATTCTTGATTCTGAACATCTCCCCAATGCCCCAAGCTCTCCAGTCGTCCGTCGTCCGTCTCCGGCACCGCGCCAAGTCCCACTCCGGGCATTGCTGGTGCGAAGAGCGCGCCTCCTGCGAGACCTTGGGAGGTCTCTGGGAGGAGACGACCTGTGGCGAGGCAACCACGACGTCGGCCGCCGGCGGGGCGGTGCCATGGAAGTGGTTTTTTGGGGGGTCGAACGAGTGGAAGGAGGGTGAAACCTAATGGTTTGGTTTATACCATATTGGTTTCACCTCCTTTCACGGTTTTTCACGTCGTTCACGACGCATGGCCCGGGTGTAGCTCGAGGAGGACCGAGCAGGATCTGAGAAGAGAAAGACGATCGCCTCCATTGGGCCCTAAGAGTGGGCGCGCTTCTGATTTGAGGATCGGACAACATTTAGCAGCACCCAACTTGAAAAAGGTCCGATGGTGGACCTGTGAAGTCGGGTCCTGGTACGGCTTTGGGATGCCAGAGGCCCTGCAACACGCTTTCTTGGTCGGTTCAGGTGCCGGTTTTCACCAGGTGCGTTCCGGGTGGGGGGAGGGGACCGATGGGTCAGGCCGGCACCAGCTCACGCCAGGAAGTGGACCGCTGGAGCGTGCAGACCCACGCGGTGCTGCAGGAGGCTTCAGCCAGCGAGGACTGCTCGGCGGTGCCCTTCGACCAGGCGCGGTCGCGCCCCGCGTCGTGCCACGCGTTCGCCGGGCCTCGGTGCAGAGCGGTGGGAGCGGATGGAGGTGGGATCGGAGGAGGTCGCAGGGGTGCGGAATCCGTTGGCCAAATGACATGAGGAATGGTTTCGCCGGCCCCATGGCTTTGATGGTCCGACCTCGACGGTCCGTCGCAGATGTACGATTGGCTCAACGGCATGGAGAAGTGCTGCAGCGATTGGCCCGCCAACCTCTGCGACAAGGACAAGGAGCTGTGGCTTGGCGAAGTGAAACCCCACGGAGCGGTCTGTGTGTCAGTGGATAGACAATGGAAAAGACAGCCCAGGCGTTGGGGGTCGATTTTTGAAGGTACGTTTTCCTACTTTTTCCAACGAAGAAGTGGAACCAAGAAGTGCAGCTGTCTTTCAAAATTATCACAACAGCCACCCCCAAACAGTATTTTCTTGAACCATGTTGAAACCCTTAAATCATCTTAAACCTCAAACCACTGCCTGGAAACCCAAACAACCAGAAACAAATGGTTGTTCCAATATGGCAATTGAAATCTTTTACATAGGAAATGGCTGCTTGGGGAAACATCCACTTGTTTCCACTTGTTTCTCGTTGTTTGGTTTCCCAGGTGGGCCTTCAACGCCGGTCACTTCCCGTTTGGGGCTCCGTTGGTCGTTTCTGAAACCGCACGAACCAACACCCACGAGGCACGAGTGACGACTCTCCGCTCTCCAGGTCCAAGTAGCTTCTGGTTTCGAGGAGCATCTTGTTCCTAATAAGCTTCTTGTTCCTAGTAGTACGGCCAGGAGCCCCTAGTAGCATCCTTGCTCCGTTCGTAGCGATGCCAGGAGCCCCTAGTAGCGATGCCCTTTGCTCCTAGTAGCGTCCTCTTGCTCCGAACTCGTCGCGATGCGGTCGCCCCGGAACTCGTCGCCGTCCTGTTCCGTTCGTCCGCCCAGGGCCACGGTGTGCAAAGATCCCAGCGACTTCCTGCCCCAAGGCGCGAGCGTCGCGTCGCGGAGGGAGACCCAAAACGCCGGGGGAAGGACCGAGGGACCGAAGGGGAAGGACCGATGGATTGTTCGATCTTTTCCGTTCGTTGATTGTTTGTGTCCGAGAACGGAACCATCTCTTTCTTCAACTCTCCCGTTGATGAAGATCGATCCATTTCTGAAAATTGATGATATAGGATCAAGATCTATTCCGAGGAGCTTTCCTCCACTTCTGTCGTTCGAACCACCCGGTGGCGCCGTTTCCCCACGGGTCTTCTGAACCGAGCGAAGTCCATGGAACATGAAAACCATGGGTTGTATACCCTCCATAGGGGTCCGGACCCTCAGAACCCAATCTGTTTGAGGCTCTTAGGGTAGAGGAACATAGGCTTTGAAAGTTTGAGGCTTGGAACTTGGAATCTTTCATTTTACTCTTCCCGAGTGTAAGCATGTCAGTTCCAAGATTCCCTCCAGTGATGCAAGGCGCCATTCCGTCGATCGATGGTCGGCTCTTGGAGACAGACCAAGAGTCCTCGTTTGCTGCGCAGGTGAGATGCATGCGTGGTGCAACATGTATGGCCGCAACCCTGAGGACAGGGTGAAACTTAAACACTTGGGAGGGCATGACAATATGAAGTTACTCCAAGTAGATGAAGTGAAGCCCAGAACCAGGCGGCAAGTTCCACGTGTGCCCTTCTCTGCCTTTCAAAGAGCAAGGCTCAGAATAGGAACCAAGCTCTTTCGTGTATCTGAATTTGTTCATAGTATTTTGTAGTATCTTGCACCTGCAGCACTGCAGGAAAAGCCAGCCACCTACCTAAAGTGGCTGCATACATGCATATGCATGGGCGAACGTGTGAAGCGCAGCCCAACAGATCCCTGAGATTCTGAAGATTTCTGAAGGGCCTCTTCTGTGCTTTCTTCCCTCCCGGTCTTCGTTCGCTGAAACGTGTTGCCAACCTTCGTTGAAAGCTTCGCCCTGAACAAAGAACAGGGAGACACATGGGGGCACCATATCGATCCGTCTACCAGGACCCAAATGGCCGGGCTGTTTGGAGACCCGACCACAGGTGGTTTCTGGGCACCGGACTTGTCACCCGGAAGCACCTGTGAAGTCGGGTGCTGGTATTTGTTTCGCTCTCCGTCTGACTCCGAGACCAACGGTCGCACCGATGGTCAGGATTGCGCCGCGCATGGCTGCAGCGCCAACGAGCATGGCTGCCATTGCTCGACTCCAGAGACCTGTCGCCCTGCTCCAAAGGATTTCTTGGGAGAAGCTCGTGGGGCCTTTCTTTTTGGTGTACAAAGGATGACTGGGCCCTGGGCCCTGGGCGTGTCGTTTTTGATCGACATCCTTTGGCACATTTGGTGAACACATTTGGTGAAAAAGCCTCTTCGCCTTGAGAAGAGGCGCGCGAATCGCGGCGACTTCAGCGGAGCCACGGTGTCTTAAGGTTCCAGGTCGTCGGAACCCGACGACGTCGGCGAGGTCGGGGGCCTTTTCGGTTCCTTTTTCCAAGGGGAAGATTGACAGTCACATGGAGGTTGGATGGATTTGAGTCTCATCCAGTGAGTGGATTTACATAGCTCCCCCCCTCCCACACAGGGGAGCCAACCTGCTGGGCTGTATGGAGCCAATCTCCTCGGCTGGCTGTGGGCTGGGGCCTTTCTTCGGGAGCTCTTGGGAGCCCACAACGGGCTCCATATTCCATCCCCTACCAGTAGGGCTCCTGGCCTACCTCCGTTTCGGTAAGGTGGTTGGGGTGGGTGGCAGCGGGGGTTTGGAGCCCAACCTCGGAGCTAGGCCTAGGCAACTCGTCCCTCCTAGGCTTGTCGCTCGATTGTTCCTCCCCACAACGTCTTGCAACTCTTTTGGTTAACTCGTTGTTCTTTTCGTCTGAAAAAGGAGGCTTCACTTCGTGCGACATTTGGGGGAGACTGAACAGAATCACGACACCCTCAACCACCTCCTTTCCACTACTCCCCACCTTGGCCTTTGAGTTATTTTTGGCCCATGACACGAGGACGAAACTATTTGGACTTACCCTTGGGTCGTTCAAGAGAATGGGATCGACCGACGTTCGGTCGATGAGGCAGCGCTGTGGGTGGCATTTGGAAGACGTGGACGTGCATCGAAGAGGCGAAGCAATGGCAGAGTCACTTGGAGCCATTCCGTGTTTTTTGTGCGAAGAAGCGGAAGTCCCTGGACTTGATCATGTTTTTCTTCTTTTTTTCGCTAGAGATGCGAAGTGCACCGGGTGGTGCCTTTTGTCTCCCGAAGTCTTCAGCCGGCATCACGGGACCTCGGAATTCTCCCCCCCCCCATTCCCCGCTGGACTCGATCCGATGGAAACTCCGATGGACATCGGCCATGGCTGGCGGGTGGACTCCGTGGGAAACTCCCAAGGCAAGCACGAGCTTTTGAAGTTGGCGCGGGAGACCGAGACCTGCGACGGAGACTGGGATGGTCAGACGGTCTTGGAGGCCACCGACCACCTGGCCAAGCCTCTCGGTGGAGCGAGATGGTCAGGTGTGGATTTGCTGAGGAGAGCAGACTGCATGGATAGACAGACTGGACAGACTGGACAGACTGGTTGAGGATTGGTAGAGTGTCACCCCAGCAAGATAGACTCATGGACCACGATGTTTCAGGCACCTTGACCCTCCGCTTCACCTTTTGGACCTCGAGAGCTGCACGCTGTCGATTCACCTTCCAACCCGACCCCGCTCTTTTCAACAGTGCAGCGACCATGACACATCATGACACAACCGTCCGCGCGACCCAACAATTTTACGTCTCCGCGCCACCACAAAGCCACGTGATTTGAGTCTTTTGGGACTTCCACTCGTTCATTTCACTCCGTTCGGATGGAACCGCCGCACGGGAACCGGCTCGTGGTCCGCGGAGAGGTTGCTCCGCCGTGCCCAGGCATTGCTGCGCCTCGTACCCGGCGACCGTGTGCCAGAAGGACTCCAAGTACATGACGTCAGCTGGCAAGAGTTGGGAAAGACAGGCTGTTCCGGTCTCACGCCATGCATATAATCATAATATAATAATCATATATGTGTAGACTTATATAACCCCTAGGCTTTTGTCACAGAAACAGCTGTTACAGCGCTTGCCCAACGCCATGTATATATATATAGTAAACCACGTCTCTCTCGCTCTCAGGCCCTGCAAGAACGACGCGGATTTCATGAAGAACAAGGTGCTCCATGGAAGCTGCAGCTTCCCGTGCCTCAGAGAGAGACAGACGTGCGCGGAGGGAGGTGAGTCAACGGCGCGGAAGGTGGGGAGATGCCACAATGTTGGAGAAGGGAGTCACCTGAGTGTTTCCCAAATTAGGACCTGTGTCTTTCTACTAGGTTGAGGGATCAAAAGGGTGGACGAATAGGACCAGCCGGAGGTACTTTCTTTTTTTTCTTCGCCGGTGGAGTGTGTCATGTGAGTCGGTTCAGAAGCATCGCGCAACAGGTTCCATCGTAAGGAGAACGTGGAGACTTAAAGGCCACGGACTTTTGATGCGGGCAATTCATGCCATGGTTTTTCCAGAAGACTGCGAACGAACAGAACTCCCAAGCCTCAAAGACGATCAAAGCAAAAAACATCTCATCAATCCGCATTCCCCTGTGCCACAGTCCGTTGGATCACCTACTGCGACAGGGATCACTTGGTGCCTCGCGGTGCCCAGGCACGGTGCGCCCACGGCTGCCGAGTGCATTGGGACGATGGTCGCGCAGGGCGGTTGCGAGGACACCGGCGCTGGCTGCACCTGCCAGTCGCTTGGGCGAGAGAAAGAGCTGTCCGTCCGTGGTATGCAGATCGAACGAACAAAAGGTGGCGTGTTTTACTAGTAACTTCTGGTTACATCTTGTTACTAAGTAGTAATGGCCTCCAACCTAATAGCGATTGAAGATCACGGTCCAGAGTAGGAAGCAGGACGCGCCAGATTTGGGGCTGGGGAGAGAGACCAACTCGGTCGAGACCCAGCTGGGTGCGGTTTTGACGGTGGGAACCGTGGCTTGAGCCGTGAGGAGACTCTTGTGGGTTTGGGGCACGTTGTAGCTTGGGAACGAAGACGCGAACAGGCACACACAGTGCATGTGCATCGGACCACTTTACCGATGACATAACCCCCACCACATCTCGTTTGGTGGAGTTCTGACTTCTATCGAGACAACCGTTTTGCCATTTTTTTTTCAAAGTTGACTCAATAGAGAGGAGTCGTTGTTCGTCAGTTTTGGGCTCCATAGCCTCCACTTTGGGGTGAAGTTCGACACTCAGGACGTCTGCACCTTTACTGACGAGGTTTTTAGGTGAGGTGTTGCAACCTACGATCGAGGTACATCCGGTTGGGTACAAGTCTCACCGAGTCTCACCGAGTCTGTTGTGCTTGTTTTGGGACGACGCCACAGCTTCTCTGGCTCTTCACGAGATTTTTTGGCTTCTTGAGTCGCATTTTTCGGCTGGTTGTGCCCTGGCGGTTTGAGCTTGGTTTTTCCAGGTTCAACGTGGGAAACTAATAATTCGGTGGTTGACTCAAACCAGAATATCTGAGTCTGACCAAACGACTCGTCCATCTTCCGAGTCGCTGACGCTCCGTTCGTCTGGCCCTTGAGTAGCCACCTCCGAGTAGCCATCGCCAAGGACCGAGCACGCCTGCCTGCACCTGAATGGTGTCTGGACGCCCTCCACTTGCGGAGACGAGGCCGGTTGGTTCGCTTCGTTCGGGTGGCGCCGTGCCACCCGCGCAACGACCCGCCTGGCAACGACCACCAATCGGTCGGTCGGTGACCGGGGTCGGTGGCAACGACAACGGTCGGCCATGGCTGATGTGCAGAAATCCTGACTTCCAAGACTCGCCCTGGACCATTAGCAAAAATGGTTGACCTTGTTTTTGTAGTGTAAAATCCTGATTCGGGATTCAGCCTATTAAAACCAATGGTTGTTGGAAGCCTAGGGCTTCGGTTTACACCATCTCTCTACACCTCGGTGTGGAAAGAACACGTCGAAGGTATCGAATTTCTGCCGCTTCAGGTGGCGATCTGGGACCTGGCCATACACCGAGCGGCTTGGTGGAGAAAGCCTATTTTCACATCCTGACAAAGCCCCCCCAAAAGGCTGGCAACCTCTAAATATGGATATTAAAGACCTGAAGAAACATGGCTTTCACTTTTTTGGGCAAGCTCTAAAGGAACATGTAAAGCTCTCTTCAATTCCGGAGCGCCGGAAATTCTGGTCACTGGCCACCTTTGCGTTTCCATTTTTCTTCACTTAATGCGAGTATTGCGATTCAAGAGTCTAGAGAAACCATGTTCCGCGGATTTCCACAGATCCACTTGGGCAACACACGAAATCCTGTTTCAGAGGCAGGGCTTTCTGATTTGGGACCGTTTCCCATCCACCTCGCTGGCCGCCCCGCAACCAGCGCTTCTAAAGCCAAGCGCCGGCGCCCGCTCTGGCCGCTTGGGGCAGGTGCTGCAAGCGGCTGATCAGGGCACCTGTGACGGATTGACGGCGTTTGGACAGGCGGATGACCGGACAGATGTGGTCCAGATCGTTGGCGGTGGGATGTTTGTGCCAGAAATGGCTTGGTGCAGGTTGGATGGTTCATGTTGAACGATGACACATGTGTTTGTCATGTGGGAGGGAACGGGTTGGACGATTGGGGTTGGAAGGTTCGGTTCAAGTTGATGAGACTTTGGCTAGCCCCAAAAAGCGATGTATTGGATCCATCAAAGAGTCAGCGGATCAAATCGATTTGTTCGATTTGTTCGATTTGTGCATTCGTTTCGACCCGTTGATAGACTGGTCCATATCTGTCATGTTTTTTCCAGGGCGGCAGGGTGGCCAGCAGGGTGGACATTGCCTTGGAACCCACACCCCCTTGTCGGGACGAGCGTCCCGATTTCACCGTTCGCCAGCCTGTGCCTGACTTTGTCGAACACATGGCGAAGCAGTGCTGCAGTAGCTTTCCAGCCACGGTGTGCGACAAGAGCGCCAAGTGCCTCGGTCGCGGTGAACGGGTTCAGGGCAACTGGTTCATGACCACACTTGTTGAGGGTTTGGGCTGCAACAATTGTCTTTGTTTCCAGTACACAAGGACATTGATGATGGGATTGTGTGCTGAGGTGATGAAGAGAAATCATATTGTTTGTAACTAATTGTCTTTAGGATGTTCTTTGTATAGAGCCAACATCAGGCCATTTTGTATATCATTTCGTCCTCTTCATGATTGATGGGTTCTTTTCAATTACATTCTTATACTTATAATACGTATTAATACGTTATCTATTCATTTCATCCTGTCTACAATTCATGACCTTGGATCATCTCAGCTGTGTCGCTTCTTCTTTCTCAGCCCGCCGATTCCTCGTCCTCAGGAGGATGACGCCGTGTCAAGACAAGTCCGACTTCACCCCAGACACGGTGCCACGGGGCCGTGCTTCGACCGTGGACAGAGCGGACTCCGAGCTCAGCGCGGTCTCCGTCTCCGCCGGTCGAATGGCCTCGGGGCATTCGCTTCGGCCCACTTTGCGCCAAGGACCAGCTCGATCTTCAATTCGGGGGGCCCCCTTTCGCCGCCTGATTTAGGTTCACCAAAGGGTTTGGGTTGCGCACTGACAGATCTGATAGATTTGACCATTTCAGACTTGGTAAAGCCTGGCCACCAGACATGCACCAACGTGATGTCATCGATGCCGGAAGTCATCGATGCAAACACATACGGATTCCGCTGCCGCTCCCGCGTGGGGCGGGCCCCCCCGGTGGCAGGTGATGTGGTCCTGGTGCCACATCGACACCAGCAAGGTCTCCATGAACGACCGGGAGCTCAGTTCTGTGAGAAGGGAAGATGGTGACTGACCTCCCAGAGGGAGCTCCAGGTGGATTTCTGGTTCATGGTTTCTGATTGATATTTTTTCGGGATCCTGGAATCCTGATCCCAACAATTGAGTTTGATTCAGTGAAATGGAGGATGGCAGATCCCGCGCCAGCTTGACCGATCCCCGATCTCTTCCTTCCGATCTCTTTCCAAGGGCACCGTGTGCAATGCGCAGCCGAGCTGCCAGGGCGACGACCATTGGTGCCTTGGCGGAAATGACTTCAGCGGAAACGGCTGAACTCGCTTCGGAAATCGCCGGAGTGGTCCGGTGCACCAAACCGGAGGTGCAACCAAGGACATGTATAGTATTTGATGGAATACGTCAGGGACATGTCACTCGCTCGGATGGGTTTTAGGATGGTTTTTGGATGCACTTGAGACGGTCAGCTTTGTGAGTGAAATCGTTTTATATGTTACTTTGTTCCAAATTTCCGGGTTTGCGTCGCATGTAGATGGACAAGTCCGAGAGAAAAGATTGACAAGTGGTCCATGTTCGAGACACAACTTCCTGAGGGTTGGAGGCGACTAGCGGCTAGTGGGTTGGAGGCCATTGCTAGTAGGGCTCTTAGGGTGGCCATGGCTACTAGTAGCTTCTTGTTACTAGTAGCAATGGCCTCCACCTAGCGTCCTTACGCCGGTTCACGGTTCCGACGCCGAGTTGGTTCCGCTCACAGGTGCCATTGCTGGCAGGAGCAGGATTGTTTGGCCATGGGTGGCACTTGGAACAGCCACACCTGCGAAGATGAGCTGGATAATTGGAGGATCTGGGGGATGGCGGTGGGTAGAGGGGATGGCATCACTACAAGCACTTGTATATAGACAATAGGAGTACAAATAGACACCATATTATGTCATACATCATCGTACATCCATATACACCAGCACCATCCTGTTCGTTGATATCCCAGAAAGATCACCCAAATTGGATTGTGCTCCGTGCTCCGTGGTGGAGTACTCGTGCTTTCTCTCTCCCTCCACTCTGTCCACCAGACCCACACGTCCAGGCCGGATCAACATCGCTTGCTTCAGTGGGCGGAGGAGAACAACACCTGCGTCGACCACGACTTGAATGGCTGGCGCGCGGAGGAGACGCATGGGGGTGGATCTGTGGGACTCAGACGACCGGTGGATCGATCGGTGCGCGACCGGTTCGTCCGGAGCAACGAGGAGGACGCTGCGAATGGGGCCGCTCTACGTACTATAGTAACAAGAAGCTACGCAGGGTGGAGGCCATCGCTATTAGGTTGGAAGGTTCCTACCACCCCGCAGGGGGCACGCGCGGTGGCCGGCAGGACATGGTCTCGTGGCCCGCTCAGATGTGCTGCAGCAGCTATCCCTCCACGCTCTGCGACCACGATGTGGAACCGATGACGCCCTGCAAGCGCAAGGAGGCGCCGGAGCCCGCGCCGGTGAAAGCGGAGAAAGACCGGTCACCGGATGGGAAAGAAAGGCACCAGGCTTTTTGCCAGTGATCATCCATGTTCATCGGTCACCCAAAGGTGATGAACCCATCCGGACGTCCCCACCACTCTTTGGCCACATCCGCTACCCTGGCCTTTACCGGCCCCTGGCCGCTGGCCGGTTGAGGACTTCCTGCCGGATCACATCCGCTACTCGGGCTGCTGGATCCACCCGAGCCCCGATGAGACCCAGTGCCACTCCTTGGCCTCTCGGCAGCGCAGCCGACCGAGAGGCCATGGAGTCGAGAGGTGGAGGCCATCGCTCTTAGGGAGGCCATGAGGCCATTAGGTTCATCTAACAAGGACGCTACTAAGGCTAAGGGCTCCTGGGCTTACTACTAGGAGCAAGGACGCTACTAGGTTGGAGGCCAAGTTTTGAGTTGATGTGAGTTGTCAGGTCTGAGAACGGGGCGAGGTCGGAATTCAGGTCTTGCGTTGAATTCCGATCGACATGGATGCTGTCACCGAACACCAGCTGCGGTCACCGGCGGTCACGGAGGGTTTTGGGGCACATAAAAAGCGGCGCTTTTTCTGGTGCCAAAAAAGGACGCACGTTTCGCCTTGGCAAACAACACGGAGCCGCTCCCACAAATCACCCAAATCTCACCGCCCAGTTTGGGTGAAAAAAGAGCCTCCTGACCGTCCTGACTGTTGACCGTCCCCATCCGGCGGAGTCCTGACCAGCGACTCCGCGCGACGGACGTCGCGAATGGATCTCGATCCAATGTGTTGGTGATGACCTGCCAATCACTGTTTGACGGTCATTGTGTTAAAGGCGGTGTCCCCCAATTTTTTTGGGGGTCACGGGTTTTTCTCAAGCGGGTACATCCCGGGTTGCTAACCACAAGAACCACCAATGGCCTCCTGGCTATTGGCTGGGCTCGCTTGGAGCTCGGTTGGCGTTGGAGGCGTCGACCGGATCACCGACAGCGACGACCGGGCGAACCGGACGAGAGAAGGGTGTACCGGGTTTACCCGTTTCACAGACCGTTTTGATATGTTATGAAGGAAGAGACACAAGAACGACACCAGCAGACTCACTCACCTGGTATCTTCGCAAGGTGGGGATGGGTCCAAACCAGTCCACCATGTAGCAAACGACCTCCCAGCTAGGTCAAGGTATCGGTCGGTGACGGCCGGTGCCCCAAAAACGCCTGAGGGCTGCACTTGGCACGAGACGTGGTGCGAGTGCAAGACAAAGGCCTCCTGTGATGCAGCAGGCGGAGCACGGGGGAGCACGGAGAAAGGCGTAGAATCAACCCGGAGTAGGGGGTTGTCGACAATCGAAGGTGTCAGTTGTCAGAGATGAAGCAGGACGCGTATAACGACATTTAGTACTGTGAACCCTGGTATGGAGGAATTGGACCCTCATTTGCAGAGGGGTGTAGGGGTCTCAAAAGTGGTCTCAAATCCCTAGGTTTGGAGCTTCTGTGTATTACATGCAAACGTGGATTCATCAACCTTCTGGTTTGCGCCATGTGCTTCCGCACATACCTCGGTGGCCGTCATGAAGTGTGCTTTGGTGGCAGTCCATTTGAGATGATACTGAGTGGTTGCAATGCAGTTTTGGGGCTGTTGTCTTCTCATGCAGCTAGCGACACCATCATTTCTTTCGTTGATATGTTGATGAATATATGATGAACATACTTAATGTAGACTCTTGATTAATAACCCCCCCCAGGCCCCATATGAAAAGGATGTCCAATTCAAACGGGGGGTCCTTCTGAGCTGGTTTCGGAGTGGAATTCAGCGCCCGCGGCGGGTGTTGGTCAGTTTTGACGAAGTATAGAGCCCCACCTGGATCAAATCCCCTGCGCCGGTTCACGCCGTCATGGACTTCTACCAGGGTTACTTGTGATTGCCGGCTACCTTTCGTTCACCCCCTCCTCAGAGTCTGGTTGGTACATGCCGCCTATCGGAAGTGCCTGGGGCTTGAGATATTCGGAGTTGCGAGGACCGGATCCTGTCGCACCCCACTGAAGAGGAACCTCAGCTGGTGCAGAGACCGTTGCTGATGCATTGATGGCCTGCACACGGAAAGACCAGCCAAAAAAAGAAATCAGTTCAACTCCATGCATTTCAATTATTGTATGCTGCAGGTGACATGTGCCATGGTCGTTCAGTCCCAAGACGAAGGGACTATCAGGCAGGGAGTTGATCTGGTGCAAACTGCCTTACTTATGCTCCAGGGCTCGTGTTTGGGGTTTAAGTGGAAAGATATGGCCAAGTGTTGCCGCCTTTGGGTGACTACTGCATATCAGCCGGATCGACCACCCAGTGCTTAAGGCATTCTCACCTCCATCAATGGTGCAAGTGTGGGGGAAGCTTTGCCCAGCGTGCAGCCCGTACCAAGGGCCTCACAACACAGGAGGCATCACAAGCCGCTGTTGGCGTCATGCCAACCAGCCCTTTGTGTAGTAACATGTGTCATGATGCTGATGAGGAAAAAAAGAGCGGTCAAGACGGGGCAGGGTGCAATGAACCGCCCCCAACCATCCATTGCTGGTACGACGAGAAGAAAAGAACGAATCAAGACAAGGCAGGGATAAATGAACCGCCTTCAATCATACAAATGAGCAATGGATGCCGCAGCTCGTTTACACTTTGCTCGCCAGAGCACCAGGGGCGGCGGGGTAGCTTCTCGGGTTGCGCCATGGATTCTACTGAGGTCACTAGTCCTAATGCACACCGGAGCCACCAAGGACGCTTGATGAGCATTCCTGACCTGGCTCATGGCACCAGGTGTGCACTTGCACGCCCTGTTCACTTTGGGGTGATCCGTGTGGGAGGCGCACCTTCATGGGTAAGCCCTCGGGCTGCTTTCTTGAAGCCGCACGCAACACTTGGTGAGAGAGTTGCATTTATGCAAGAAACCGAAGGATGGCTAGCTACCGATGAATGGTCCTTTGCGGCTAACCGAATCAACCAGGCAGCCACTCATTATCGAATCTTGCCTGTAGCTATCTATTTTCAGGAGTCGGATGAATTCGCCTTTGACCACGATCAGTTTCAAACCTCGAATACTGGGATAAGTCTTTTGCCCATTCTGTATGGCGCCCATTGGATTGGGGTGGAGATTGACCGCCAACACGACACCCCCGAAATCGCCATCCTTCAGTGCGCGGAGGCGCAGCAAAACCATATCGAGACATTCATATGCCAACTCATCCACATACCTGCACATCGTTTGGTCATTAATCACTGGGCAAATGCAACCCCTCCGGGCATGTGCGGGTGGTCCATTATGTGGCGTTGGATCAGTCTCTCACATACGCAGCCTGTGTTTGCTAGGACACTTCAGGACTTCCACAGCCTGTCCGATGATAGGAAACGAATCGTCTTGAGAGCATTGTCCAAGTCCGCCCATGCATGGGAGAAAACTGGATCAGACAGGATCCTCCAACAAGTAGCACACACGGTCAGGCATTCTTTCCTTATGCATTTATTTGCTTTCAACACTGGGGTGTTCACAAGACTGGATGCCAACGCAACATGTGCTGCGGGACAACCGCTCGCTGTTTTCGAATCACATGCGCCCGCCCCAGGTGAACCACATCAGGTGTCAATAGCTACTCAGACTACGTCGCATGAGTCTGAACCCACGCATATGCACACGCAATACAAACTGAGGTCTCCTTCGTTTCCGAAGAAAATGAAGATATTGTGATACTCCCGCATGACCATGACCGTGTCCGCCAGCGGCTTCAGGAGCTTTGCCTTTTTCCTGCACAGGCCGCGTCTGATGAACTGGATCATGCATTGGACATTTGTCGACATTTTTCGGGTGCAGTCAACCTGTGGCCTTGCTGTCAATGGCACCCAGAAGCCACAGCTATTGAAGTGGTCTCACAGCGTCAGTTTATATTGGGACACCATCTGGAGCACCGGGCCCTTGTACAGAGTTCCATGCATTGGTTCGCAGTACATGTCATGAGAGAGTCTGGCTTAGTATGGATGCACGCCTATGGCTTCCCTCCGAGCTGTGCGGAACATTTCCCAAAATTCCTAATGCATTTGGCTGATTTGTTCCAGGCCCCACTGCATCAGATCCGGGCTCAGTCTTTTAGCTACACA